TAGGTATTTGGGGGGGGGGGGGGGGGGGGGGGGGGGTTAATGGTCTCGGATTACACGCTGGCACTGTCCTACGATCTGTTTACTGATTTTAGCTTTGGGCCTGATGGACATACGACTCATCAATCCTAAGTATCGAACTCAGTGGCTAGCTAAACGTGTTTCTTTCCTGCTTTCTTTCAAGTTTGGCGAATAAAGTAATTTGAGAGTCGAATTTTGGAAAAAGTCTAAGAGCTTGTCCCTGTCCCGAAGCTAATGAAATCGCTACGTATAATGTGGCACTTGAGCCAAGTTCCCCGAGGCAAAACTTTCCCGTCGACATAACTAATATTCATGATTAATAATGGAACATACTAGCTTCTGATTATTAGTAATCTGATTAGTAATCTTTAGTAACCGATCGGTATAGAGGACAAGTATAACTTTTTTAAAATGCAAAAGTCAATTAATTCAAATAAATTATAATTTTAATTTGAATAATAATAGGAGTGAGATTTACAATATGTACTCTACGATACATTTCGTGAAATTCAATTTGATATACTTGTGTTTTTAGCTTATGTAATTAATAAAAAAGTACCCTATTGCTTTATGTTCCAGTAAGTTTTATTATTAATATTGCAGTCTTTGAAACAATATTTTAGATTGTAAAATCAAATATTGACTCTATCAATGAGAATAACGATACGTTATAATATGTATACCAAAAAGCATTATCTGTAAAGGATAGTAAATGCAGTTTATCAATAATTATTTTATTAAAAGACTAGGGAATCTATGCAATTGCAATTGACAAAATACATGTTCAATGTACAAATAAAATCGATCAATAATGTTATAATAAAACTGAATAGAAACTTATCGATTATAATTTATATCACATGACTATATTTATTGTTCTGCTACTATAATGGCAAAATTTAATTAATTATTAAAAACGAACTTCAATGCGAAGGAAAAAGTTTATACATTTGTTTTAAAGACGAATTTTCTTTGATCTTTGCAATTGAAAGAACAAGACAGACAATTTCTTATTAATTTTTAGATAAATCGTTTTTATTTATTTATAAATCCTTATTTCTGTGAAATAATTTGAATAAATGTATATTTACTTGTTGTAACTTATAAGGAAAATTTATTTTTACTGCAACATTGAAAGTAGTACGAACCTTCATGAAAATTTAGAAATTTTATGAAAACTTTTAGATAGCTCTGTTTGCCATTTCATTCGACAAATCTCCTTTTTTCCAAACCTCTAAGACCCAGATTTATTCACTTAAAATTTTTCTATCTTTTTTCTATCTTTTATGTAAATAAATATTAACGATATTAACGACGATATTTTCTATATCTTTAACGTCATTTCATTTCTACATTCTTCGCGATAGCTATGATCTCTCAGTGAACTGTAGAGTCTTTAAAAAAGAGCCAAATAAGTGATTCACCGAGAGCTTTGGCTTCGCTTATCGCAAATATTTATCCGTATTTATTTTATTATTATTTTTTGTCCCCCCAAACGAATTGTTGGAATAAAGTTAAGTAGAATGTGTAAAGAAGTATGAAACCGTTGCCAATATTTGTCTAAAAATTTGATGTTCGTTTATCGAATATGAAAGTGACGATCAATTTAAGAAACTTTATAATTTACCTTGTTAGACATTTTATTTAACTTGAGTGTTACGTTTCATTTTTATCAACTATAATGTAACTCTTGCTATTTTTAGGAATACTGTTATTCTTATTAAAAGTTATATAAATTTTTATTAAAAGTGTGTAAAATTGTATGAAGAAATTTCCAAACAAGTTTTATTAGCTTTCATTAATATTTGTTTTTTCATTACAAATCTTGAAATTTCAAGCGTTAAATTGAATTATACTTTTAAAGCGAGAAATAGTTTTCATATATATATTTTTCATATATTTTTTTATATACATATTTTACAATAAGCATTAGTATGTCATCTATTCATTTTAATATAATATCTTATGATTATATAATTTATGTATATATATATATATATATATATATATATATATATATATATATATATATTTGTACATTTTAAGTTTATTATAATTCACACTGACTAATAAGAATTAAATTTTTTAATTCATAACTCAAATATTATGATTATTAAAACAGCAAATCTATATTTGTAATTTTCATTGATAATAATTAATAACATACTCAATTTTAATCCTGGGAAGAAAATTTATTTTCCAACTATTATAATATAATAAATTTTCGAATAATTTAGTTAACTAAATTGAATTAGTACGTAGAAAGTATTATGGATTACCAATATAGAGTATAGAGTATAGAGTATAGAGAAATTGGCAAGTAATAGAGCTCTCGTAATTGGAAAATTAGACCTAAGAGAGATAAAGATTTAATAATAATATTTTAATGTTATAATGGCTCGTAATAGGTTTTAGATAATAAAAGAATACGTTAAATATATGTAAGTGAGATTAGATTCTATATAATATCAGTTTGTAATAGTTTCTTAAAGTCATATATACATTAAATCAACGCACCAGTAAATTAATTCTCATGTAATTAGTTAATAGGTAGATTGCAATAACTTTAAATAGTGTTAGTTAAGAACTACTTTATGTAATTACTGTAGATTTTGTGGACGACGGTAAGAAAGAATATAATTCAAGCAGTATCATTATTAATTAAAAGAGGAAAGAAGTATTAGAAAAATAGGCAAAGGAATATCTTCGTAAATATAGATACAATAATAATATATTTTTATTTTATCGTGACACATTTACGATTCGATCTTATTGTTATTATATGAAATTGAAATTTAAGCAAATCTTTCATTCAAGCACTGCAATTAGTTTGATAGAGATGTAAAATACACTTCTTACGATATTATAATCAGAGCAATTCTTATTAAGAATTGATATTTTAAAATTATGAAAGAGTTATTTTCTATTCCTAACGCATGTCATAACACAAACACAACATTCCTAACTCTTTGCAGAAACTAAAAATCCTATAAAATAATAGAAATAGCCACGATACTCTTTAAATTAAATCGCATGTCTCGTGCATATCCTTGCATAGGTCGAACATCAAAGGCTCACTAGTGTTCATTGTTCTTTTTCTACAGTTGCACAGGATATCGGGGGAATGAACTCGTTGGCTCACTGTCGGCTCGTGGTTTTCAGCTGTACTGCGCAGTATCGCGAATTTCTTCATATTCGATATTTCGCTAGGTGACGCGGTGTAAATGTAAATAGAAAGACTTACACTCCTCGTGCGTGCATCTTTTTGCAATGACGATAGTGACAATCGACTTTGGCTTCCGGCATGTTTTAACGGATAATAGGATTTCAAATATTATTGCTGCTTCGATGCAGTAGAATCCAATATGAAATTCTAGTCTTTTTATTTATTAATGGTTGTTTCTTTCTATATTCCTCAACGTTCTTTTTTTTTTATCGTTATAGAATTTTCTTTCGTTTCCATTCCTTTTATTGATACGATGTGTAAAAACGATATGTTTCAATTAATAGGCGAAATATTTATTAGAGTATTATTAATATTAATATTACGTTAAATTTATGTATTTTTTTGTCTCGTGGAATTAATTCAACTTTCATTATTTGTCGATTAATTAATTCCTGAAATATTTAATATTTATTATTTATGTAATTATTTCGCAGTATTCTTATTGCTTAATTAGCGATAAATATTATGTCGTGATGTTTATCATAAAATTGAACAGTACGGTAGTAATAGATATCATCTATTTCCAAAATTCAGTTATCAATCAATTTTAATTTTTTTGTTTTGTCGTTTAATAAAATATAAAAATTAATAATGAAAATTATTTAACAAATATTTTCATATTAATTCTTTAACGTACGAGTATTACGAGTATTACGGCATTGCCAATGAAAATTAATACATAATTCTAACGTTCATTTTTATAACTATTTTTCTATTTCATGAATATGAAAATATAATTGAAATCAATAGGTATATATTTTATTGGAAGATTTTTTGAAAAAAAAAGATTCCTTATTTAATAGCACAGTAAAGGCTTGAATAAAAAATAATTATTACTAAATTTATTACTAAATATAATATTTGAATTTTGTTCGTTTCATAAATAACGTTAATTGCAGAAATCTTCTGCAAAGAATTCTTTCTTCTAGGATGTTTATTTATCATTTGATCAAAAGAGAAAGGAGCTGTAAGCATTTTTACAGCTACATAGTAAGAAATTATATATAAAAACTGTACACGAAGCCAGTGATTTCTTATAGAAATATGATCCTTTTAATGTATTATAATGTTTTTATATGTATATTACATGTACATAAATGGGTTCTTGACACATGACATCAATCTACATTTAACTGACTTTTCATATTATAATCATTATGTTCACTAAGATATATTAGGCTATTCGTCAAACCCATTATCAAAAAAAAAAAAAAAAAAAAAAAAAAAAAAAAAAAAAAAAAAAAAAAAAAAAAAAAAAAAAAAAAAAAAAACTAAACAAAAACAAAAAAAAAAAAAAAAATCAATAAATATAAATAAGAAATTCTTCTAATGAATGAAACGACAAGTTTGTATAAAATCTATGTTCTCTAGGACAATTGTTGTATGTAGAGTTACAAACATATAACATAACGGTAAAACAAAATCGATCTAAAGTTGACATCGTTTTCGAAACTTCTGAATAATATTAAAATAAATAGTATGCACACCTTATGGGACGGAAAATGGACTAAAAAAAAAAAAAAAAAAAATGGACAATGCCTTTATTACTTATGTGGCCATTTTTAATCTAAAAACAATTTAAGGCAAGGCTTTTTGACTCAATAGCATAAAACTTAAACTCACCTATGATAAATATGACCTCAACGACCACATCGCTAACCATCGTAGGCCGATCAGTATTGATGAAACTGGCATTATACGGCACGACAACGGCAACATAAAGTGTCGCTAACAGCAATAGCCAGTCCCAGCATGTCTTAAACAAGCCGTAATGACTTAATACGAATTGAGATTTCTTTAGCGTTGTCGTCTTGTATTCTGGTAATGGCGTTGTTGTTGAGTGCAGCAATGCCTGACAAAAAAAATCACTAATAAATATTTTGAATCTCTCGCGAATGGAATATCGTACTTTGATGCCTCAAACGCTTATATAATAATAATAATAATAATAATAATAATAATAATAATAATAATCATCATCATCATAGATGCCTCAATTGTACGTAATAAAATGAATTTATAAAAAAATATATGAAGCAATAGGAAATGGTAATGGAGAGTAATTCTGAACAAGAAATGGAAAAAGTAATTATAAGATCGTTTCATTGTACCAGTCCATAAAGTGAAAAACTCCGGATAAATCATATTTACGCTGAAAAAGTAGAAAGTTAGTAATCATGGCAAAAAGCAATCATCGGGAAAAAAATTAACCAATTATATGAACTAACGTGCTTCTTAAAGTGAAAAATTACTTTATTATTTTATTATAATTTCTGTGAATTTTTACTTAAAATCTTTATAAATTTCAATAATAATAGTTTTAGATAGAAATAATTTTCAAAAATTTTCACTCATAAACTATAATAAAAATTTCAAATAGTTTTACACAAATATGTATATTCCATTAAATATAATTAATGATAGTTATATATTATTATATAACTTACGTTATTGTTAATAATGGAAAATTTCCTAAAATATACATCACGTCTTTTCATTGAAATTGAAAATTGAATTTTTAAAAATTTTTCTATAAATGAAACACATGATATTTTAATCTCGTATTGTATTTAAGCAATAATTTCTTTATATTTGGAATACTGTACTTTTTACAAAAATGATTTTAGAAAATTATTAACTCGCAAGATATAATTTTCCAAATGCAATTACAAATAATTTAGTTCAACTAAACCGAATATTTTCAGATATAACAAAGTTCTGGTTTAGCGCAAGTTTAATATACTATATAATTATACTAAAAGGAATACGTAAAACTGTGGACTTATATTGAGACATTAAACAAATAATTAATGATGGAATACATTCGTTAAATATAGTATAAAGCATATAAATATTTTTTAATTATAAATTAAAGATATTGCATTTATAAGGTAAAATTTTTTAACGCGAGTTAATTTAAGGTAAGTTTTAAGTGAAATATTTGAGAAATATTGAATGAATACTTAATAAAATGTAATAAATATTCTCGAATAAGAAGGGAATGAGTATCCACGGTATAGTTAATCAAAATATATAATTAACCGTGCATTTCAATTGGTAAATTTAAATTTCAATTAGCAATTTATAGTAATTAATAATGAAATTTAGCTAAGCTAATGCTTCGATTTGCCTGAAATGTGCCACCCTAAGCTTTTATTATATACTTCAAATTTAGCTTTGGATCTACAAAATATCCCACGACGTTTCGAAAGATGAATAAAAAATATAACACACACACACACACACACACACACACACACACATACACACACACACACACAAAATAGTTAAATCTTTTATGTCTTTACTACGTTCTGACACAATGGACTCAGTCTTTGTATTTTCTTTCATCAGTGTATTTCTTTTGCTTAGTATCTTACGTCTTTCTCTACAAATCATCCGAATCTGTTCAACTTTCAGTCCTATTATTGAAGTAACATTACACGTGATATACGCGTAAACTTAATTATGAGTTTGTCGGACTGGATAAATGGATACGTCTTTTGTTACGAAAGTGTAGCTGATCTGAAAACACATCGCGTAATCTTGTTTTACGCGTATATGTGTACGAAAGTTGAGACGCTTGTTAAAAGCTATTAAAACTATTGTAAGATTATTAATATTGAGAAAGAAAGAGAATATTGATACAATGACAGAGACAGAGAGAGAGAGAGAGAGAGGGAGAGAGAG